GGCCGCAGGTACCCCCTGGCCCACAGTGGTCCGGGTGGAACCACGCCGCGGGACCCAGGTGGCCTGGCCTGGCCTTGCTTCGGCTCCCTCCGTTTTCCCTTTGGACTCACCTGGCCTCTTGAGCACAAAGGTGAGCCAAGCACTTTGCCACCTGCAGCATTTACAGTCATTTTCCAGCATGAACAGCGGTGGCACTGGTCTGAGCCTGGGGACTCCTGTCTTTTTTTTTTTAAATATATGTATGTATTTTTTATTGATTTCAGAGAGGAAGGGAGAGGAAGAGAGAGGTAGAAACATCAATGATGAGAGGGAATCATTGATTGGCTGCCTCCTGCACATTGGACCGAGTCCGAAACCCAGGCATAGTGCCCTTGGTCTGAATTGAACCTGGGACCCTTCCGTCTGTAGGCCGACGCTCTATCTACTGAGCCAAACCAGCTAGTTCAGTGGTCGGCAAACTCATTAGTCAACAGAGCCAAATATCAACAGTACAACGATTGAAATTTCTTTTGAGAGCCAAGTTTTTTAAACTTAAACTATATAGGTAGGTACATTGTTATTAACTTAATTAGGGTACTCCTAAGGCTTAGGAAGAGCCACACTCAAGGGGCCAAAGAGCCGCAGTTTGCCGACCACGGAGCTAGGGCCTGGGACTCTTGTCTTTTTTGCCTTCCCGGCAGGTCTGGACATAGAGTTCACGGGCCTTCGCACTAACCTGTCCGGGTCCCAGCAGATCAGGTAAAGCTCAAGCTGCCTTAGAGCCGAGCTAGAGAGGTGCTCACCTGTGCCCCTCGGGTGGCATCCTGGCCATACCAGCCTGGTTTCTCAGCAGGCACCCACTGGCGCTGGGCGGGCAGGATGACGTGTTGTGTGGGGCTCTGGGGACCTGGCCTCCGCCCACTAAGTGCTAGTAGCGTTCTCATTAGTGGTTGAGAGGTGCTGACCCAGCGCGAGGCTGGGCGCCTTGACGCCACCTCACGGCCTGTGGAATGAGATGCCCGTTTTTTCACAGTCTTTTTGACTTGCCATCGGAGTGGTACCTAAAGACCCGTCGGAGTGTTCAGCAATTTACAATCTGTCAGATTGGTGAGTGTGATCATGAGTTACTAGGAGAGCTACTTTTATTGTCTTCCTGTTCGTACTGCTCAGACGGCTTTGACATCTTTCAAAGGGCCTGGCTATCACCTGTTGTGCTTGTTTGGTTTTTGGTCGTGTTATGTCTGTCGGACCTTACACTTTGGGACAAGCGGAAGTTGATTTAGCAGCACTATTTCATGCCTAACTAAATCAACATTAAGGAACCCGAACCTTCTTTCAAGGAAAAACGTGTGTGATTTTTCTTTAGAGAAAACTTACATAAACAAGGTCATACTGGGCACATTTTGTTCTGCATCTTTTTGTTTTCACTTAGGGCAGCGGTTCTCAACCTGTGGGTCGCAACCCCTTTGGCAGTCGAACGACCCTTTCACAGGGGTCGCCTAAGACCATCCTGCATATCAGATATTTACATTATGATTCATAACAGTAGCAACATTACAGTTATAAAGTAGCAACGAAAATAATTTTATGGTTGGGGGTAAAAACATGAGGAACTCTTTTAAAGGGCCAGAAGGTTGAGAACCCCTGACTTCGGGGTGTAGAGCTCGGTCTATATCAGCACACGCAGACCTCTTGTTCATTTTTTACAGTTGTACTCCAAACTATCAATGTATCCATTGACTCAGTCGCCTACTGATGCATGCTTTGGTTACCATTTGTGTCTGATAAAACAAGGTTGCACTGACTAGCTGAGTATTTATGCATCACTTTTGTGAGTATATGTTATACTAAGTGTGCGGGGTACTTCCGCAGTGGAATTGCAGCGTTAAAGAGGATGTGTTAAAGTCTTGTGTGGTGCCAACCTGTTCCTCCTCCTACCAACCATCCACAAGATGACAGTGACTCCCACTGACAACGTGAATGTGCCTGCTCCCTCCCGTCCCTCACTCTGGCTGTTGTCACTCTTAAATGGATGTTGCTCGCTGAGTGGAGGAAAAATGATGTGCTTGTTATTCTGATGGACATTATTAATACAGGGTCAACAAACTTTTCTGTAAAGGCTCTACAGTAAATCTGTTCGGTTTTACAGGCCATGTGGTCTGTTACATTACTCAGTTTTGCCATTGTTGATGGAAATCAGCCACAGACAGTATATAAATGAATGAGCATGGCTGTATTCCAATAAAACTTTATTTATAAAAACAGGCCTGGACAGATTTTACTGACCCTTGCTTGTCCTGTGAATGATGGTGAACATCTTTGTGTGTGTGTTGCTGTCTCCTTGTCCTTTGCTAATTCTGTTGTGGTTGTTTAACTTGATGGTAAGGCCTCTTTGAAAAGTATGGGAAATAGATCTGTTTCTATGGTTTTCCCCCTACTCGGAAGTCCTTTTCACTTTGTGAAAGGTCTTTTTAACAACGCAGACATTTGAAGGCAATTAAATATATACATCTTCATGTTTGGGGTGTTCCCTCTGGTTAGTTTTAAAACTATAAAAATGTCGCTTTCACTTTACTTCTGTGTTTGAAGAACCATTCACAATTATGTTTGAGTAATTTCAGTGTGAATTACAATTTGACCAGGTTGGTGTTTTGGACCTGTCTTTTCTTCCTCTCCTTCTGCTCCTCCTGTTCCTCCTGCTCCTCTTCCTCTTCCTCCTTTTTTTTTTTATGAGCTTATCCTCTTCTAAAGCCCACGCAGTATTTCTGGATTCAAAGCACTGTTCAAACGTTTTGTTTTGGTAGTTAACTTCTGGTAGCTCTTTGGTACTCACCCCCCTGCTGTTCTTCTAGGACTGTCTGTGTTTTCCAGTGTCGAAGGCGAGTCGAACAAGTACGTATAAAGACCTTTGCATGACACCTGGCTCTTGCCCAGTGATCGTCTCCACCTCCTCTCCCCAAATTCTGCTTCAGGCTCTCAGCCACGTTGGCCCCGGACGCCCCATCCTCTCCCCTGCTCCTGTGCCCTGCCCCTGCTCTCTCCCCTGCAGACTCGGCTTGTCCTTCAGGTCTCTGGAAGCAACACCTTTTCTGGGGGCCTTTCCTGACACCTGTCCTGCACCTTCATCACTCCTTTCCCTGTTGCCATGGCGTCCTGCATGGGCCTCCAGGGTGGCAGTGAACACAGTGTTACCCCGAGGGGAGGGCGAGGTAGCTCAGGCACCAACGGTCAGAAACGATGGGATGGCGGTGCCGCGGGCTCAGGATGGGGGGGGCAGATCCTGCTCTTCGAGGGCAGGGTCTCTGCCTCTTTTCAAGGACCCCCTCACCCTCCGGGGCCAGTCACAGGACTGGGAACAGCCGACATTCAGATGCTTCTCAAGGGAAAGGAGCCCACTCGGAAGCCTGCTCTGAGCCAGAGTTTTGAAAATGGGTTTGGCTTTTCCTCCTTATGCTCACGTTCTTTTGTAGGTACGTAGCCCATTCCTGTAACTTCTTTCTCTTCCCTACGACGTTTGGGATTCTGGACTCGGAATTCTCTTTCCAGGCCTCTAGCGTACAGTTTCTGAATCAGTATGGCTTCGACTATAACAAGGTGCGCCACGGGGGAGGGAGACGCCACGGGGGAGGGAGACGGGGTTCGGAAGGGTCTCTGGTCCCGTTTCCTTCCCGTTCACGTCCACGTGAAACCGGACGAGGGAGGGTTCTTTTCGCTCTGCTCCCCACGCAGAGGGTGGCTCCACCGGCCAGCCTCCTGCTTCTCTTCCTGTCTTTAGTTTCTCAAACATGGAATCCCCTACATGAACGAAGAGCAGGAGAAGCAAATCAAACACAACATCCTGACTGGGAACTGGAGAGTCCGCAGGTACAGCCACGCTCGGGTGCCTGGTGCGTTTCTCCGGGGCTGGGTTTGTGCACTTCCCGTGGGCAGGCCTGCTGCCTCCGGAGTGTGGTGACCTCTCGCGTCCCCTAAGCTGGGGAGGCGTCTGGCCTGCGCTCAGTCGCACATAACTGCTCCTAGTGCTGGTGAACCCATCCCCACGCCGAGGGGGCAGCCTCTCCCCCGAGTGGGAGTTCAGGGCTTCAAATGAAGGAAGAAGGCAAAGAGCCTTAACTTGGTGCTCTGAGCAGGACCTGCCCTCAGGGCTGTGGGGACACGGCTCTGTGGGACTCACTGCGGATGGTGTGTTGGCCTTCAGTGTGACCTTGGGAGTTTTTAGGGGGACCCTGACCGAGCTGGTCACATGCCTCAACTTGGATGGACATGTCCCCTGAGGGCAGGGCTTCTGCCCTTTCCCCTCGGCCCCCAGAGCCGGTTGTCTGCCCTCCTGCAGAGCGGGGTTGGGGGTGGCGTGGTGGGCGGGTGGCAGCATGTGTGGCGGAAGGGGCAGCCCCTGGGCCCGGGCAGGCCCTGTGTCAGTTCCCTGGTTTTGAACAAACTGTTTAAGCTCCTTGGGCTTCAGGTTCATGCCTTTGACAGCTGTTAACTCTGCAGAATGAGGAGTCATCATTGGGTCCAGGTCATTGTCTTATGTGATGTTGGAGTTTCTTGCTTTTTTAAAAAATTTTACTCTTTTTGTGGTTTTCACATAAAAATGTAGCTTTTTGTAAGGGGAAAAAAAACATTTGAACTTTGAGCCTTCTGTTATTTTCATGAAAAGGCTTTCTGTACCTCAAATAACATGATGTTCTTCTTCCCTAAGACAGGAGGAGATGTGCTCACAGAGTTCCTGTCTCCTCCTCACTCCACCAGATGGTGCTTTCTCACCTCGGAGAGCTGAGTTAGGCAGCAGGGATGGCGCAGTCCCCTGTGCACGCGTGGGCGGGGCCTGCCCAGCGCCTGTGTCCTGCTGCAGAGCCGGCTCGGAAAACAAATGGTCTTTTCTGGGTGCATTTTCTTGCCAGGATCACAGTGTTAACACTGGAGGCTCAGGAGCCGCTCCCAGGTTCACGTCATCTCGCGGTTCTGGAGGGTTCCTCCAACGTTCCCCCTTCCTGTGCCCATTTTCAGTTCCCTGGACAAAGACCAAATGAAGGCGGTGATCGATGAGGTGACTCGGTGGCTGCACCTGGCGGAGGAAGGCGACTGGATGACGCTCCCCGGGATCACTGGTAGGCAGGGGGCGTCGGTCCAGTTGGTCACTCACACACCCTCTTCTCCCCGGCCAGGCATTGGCTCAGGGTCCTGGTGGAGAGAGAAAGCTCTGCCCTCAGTTCCAAGGTGAAGGCTGTTGGACTTTCTGAATGTTAAGGTGGAGGAAGGGCAGTTCCGCCTTGGAGCCCAGCCCTGAGTGTCCTGTGTCCCCGTGTTTACTCTGACCCTGGAGTTCCCCCCACGGTGCAGAGTGCAATCACGGTGAACATGCCCTGGTCCGTGGACCCCAGGGGTCTCAGGCCCTTTCGAAGGGGTCCAAGAGGTCAAAAGTAGTGTCACCATACCACTCGGCTATCACTTGCCGCCGTCAGGTGCCATCTGCACTGATGGCATCGAAGCACAGGTCAGCACCGGGCACAGATGAAGGCGTGCCGTCCTCATGCCAGGCATCAGTGGGTTCTGTCACCAGTTACTCTCAGTTTTATTTTTTTATTTTTTAAAAATATATTATTGATTTTTTTACAGAGAGGAAGGGAGAGGGATAGAGAGTTGGAAACATCGATCAGCTGCCTCCTGAACACCCCCTACTGGGGATGTGCCCGCAACCAAGGTACATGCCCTTGTCCGGAATCGAACCTGGGACCTTTCGGTCTGCAGGCCGACGCTCTATCCACTGAGCCAAAACTCTCAGTTTTAAAAAATTCAATTTTGCCCTGGCCAGTGTGGCTCGGTTGGTTGGAGTGTTGTCCTGCACATCGAAAGGTGGCGGGTTAGAGTCCTGGTCAGGGAACATACCTTGGTGGTGGGTTCAGGCTCCAGTTCGGGCGCGTACGAGCGGCAACCGATGGATGTCTCTCTCTCTTTCTCTTTCTCTCTCTCTCTCTCTCTCTCTCTCTCTCTCTTTCTCTCTTTCTCTCTCCCCCTCCCTCCCTCCCTTTCTGTAAAATCAATGAATATATCCTCAAGTGAGGATTTTAAAAAATCAAATTTTACTTACTCTCTTTGGCAAAGCAGTAATAATTCTTAATTTTAGTAAATCTCCATCTTTGCTCATCTTTTTAAACATTCTGTGTGTCCAAATGCACATGTCGAGAAGTCGGTACGCATTAGACGTTGCTGCCACCTACGACACTGCAGGGCCTGTCTCGAGGAAAAGAACTTGTGCACGTTTTGAGTTGAGAGCCGAATTAGCACCTTTTTTATTTTCTTTCATGGGATATTATTTTTTCTTAAAGAACCGAATGTAGTTATTTTGACGAGGGTATTTTCAATCATATTGTCAAGTGAAAAATAGTGAGCCTGTCTCTTCACGGAGAATAACTGACAGTCCTTGCTGGTGCCACGCTGGGGTTTCCGTCAGACACTGGGAGTTTGGAAAACTTGAGTCTGCACCGCACGGTGGCCAGCGCCCCAGGCCTGAGGCCTTTCTGTGGGGCCGCGGCCGCGTATGCCAGGCCTCTCGTTGCTGTTCTGCAGTGAAACGTGTGAGCCTTGGAAGATCTGCGCAACTCGCCGTCCCTGGTCCCTGCGCGTGGGCCATGGGCTTGGGCGCCCTTTCCCATCTGATGGGCCTCTCAGCTCCTATTCCCTCGGCCCCTCTTGAGGGGAGGCGGAGAGCTGGTCCAGGCTGCGGGGTTCTGTGTGAGCTGTGTCTCCTTGCTGTAGGCTTCCAGGCCTTCGAGGTCCAGCTGGTGCTGAGGCAGGCCCTCCCGGACATCTGGACGGTGCTGAGAGACCAGGCGGTGAGTCCTCCCCTGGAGTGGGCACCTGAGCCACCCATCCTCTCTCTCCTCGGCCAAAGCGGGCCTCTGTGAAATGTGTCCGTCTGTCTCTTTTTGTCCCTCTCCCGCCCCCTCCGCCTCTTCCCCCTCCCCTTTGAGACGAAGGACCAGGTCTTTGGCAGCGCTCCCAGGATTAGGGGACTGTCTCCTTTCACCCCAGGTGATAGTGAAGAAAGTGAGCAGGCAGCACCGCTGGTACCTGCAGAACACCTCCTGCGACCGAGAGAGCTGCTGGAAGGAGAAGATCCTGCTCTCCGCCAGGGGCTTCTCTGTGTTTTTCCAGATGCTGGTGAAAGCCCAGAAGGTAGGAAAGGTTCTCTCGCCCTAGCCGGTTTGGCTCAGTGGATAGAGCGTCGGCCTGCGGACTGAAGGGTCCCAAGTTCGATTCCGGTCAAGGGCATGTACCTTGGTTGCGGGCACATCCCCAGTAGGAGGTGTGCAGGAGGCAGCTGATCGATGTTTCTGACTCTCTATCCCTCTCCTTCCTCTCTGTAAAAGACCAATAAAATATATTTTTTAAAAAAAAGAAAAGAAAGTCTCTCTCTTCTGGGTCTGCAGCGGCCTCTCTCTCTGGCCGTGGCCCTGCTGGGCTCCAACAGGGAGATCTTGAGATGAGAGGTTCCTCCTTGTTGAGAATTGAGAACTGGCTGTGCGGATCTGACTGGCACCAAAGCATGGTGGGTAGACTGGAGGAGAGACTGTCCGTAGGCGTTTCAGCACTGATTGACCTAAAACTCCCGGGAAGGAGTGCTGCTCTGCTTCCCAGTTTGGGTCCCAGTGTGGCCCGGCCTCAGGCCCCTCCTGCTCACTTCTTTTCTCCTTTTCCGGGAGGGAGAGGAGGGTGGCGATGGGATGGCCACGTGGTCAGGATGCAGTGGGTTCTGAAGCTGCACCCTTTGCAAGTAGCGCCCGTTTCTCTCCTTTGTAAAGCTTCCTTTTCCTCCCTGTCACTTTCCTCCAAGTAGCCCTTGGTGGGACATAACATGATGATGGACCTGCTGCATCTGCATGAGAAGTTCTTCAGGCCCCTCCCAGGTAGGGCCCGCCTGGCGCTCTCCTTCCCTTGATCCTAGTTCGCCCGCCTGGAGGGGCGTTGGCCCAGAATCCTGCTCCCGTAGGAGCACCCACGCGCACCCCTCCCCAGGGGCTGTGATGAGGCGCTGCCGTGGCTGAGAGGTAGCGCTGGCTTCACGGAGGGAGGCCAGTGGTGAAAGGCCTAACACTGGAAAGCCACCTGTCAGGCAGATGGGATGTTAGAGCGGTGGGCATGGCACCAACAGGAAAAGAAGGAACGCAGTTAGTTGCCTTGGGGAGCAGAAAATGTAAGTGGGGAGGAGAGCCTGGGGGTGTTGTTTGTGTTTGTGGGAAACCTGTTTAAACTCCATGCAGGTGTAATTTTGATGAGCATACCAAGTTAGAAATCGTTATCAGGGCACGACCCTCATTATAATGTTTTTAGTGGATTTTTCCCTGGACAGTCGTTTACAAATGCTGATTTCCTATCTGATTCCCAGCAGCACCTCTTCCTCCTTTTCCCAGTGGCTAGAACTTTGCCAACTCCATGGAGCAGAACTTCCTGGGAAACCGTTTGGCTTTTGCTGTTGCAAACGGTGGTGGCGGTTTGGCTTGAGATCGAGAAACCCTTCACGAGCAGGAATGAGGGTCTCCTCTGTCTCTCTTTCGTTTTACTCATTAACCAGTGGTGACAAGTGAGGTGAAGAACTCCCCTTCCCATTTTGCCAACAAACTCACCTCTGCCCGTCTGGGTCTCTCCTTCAGAAAGCTACCACCAGTTCAAGCAGAATATCCACAGCCTCTTTCCCGTCCTCCTTGACACCAAGAATGTGACCAAGGACATATGGAAGGTAAAGAACGCACCTGCCTCAGGCTAAGGGATGCTTTATCCCAGCAACACAGCCGTCTCCCTCTCTCCAAAAGTTGTTCCTTGAACCCTTTCCTCATAGTTTACAACCAGCATCGCTTTCCTTCTGGGCTCTAGGCCCTCTGGGTCATAGTGGCTTCCATGTAACCCTTGCCTCCCTCCCTCACTCTCCCATGTGCTGACTTACTTGTGTCCAGTTGCTGTGCTTGTTTAGATCCAACAACAGCAGCTGACACATGCCTAGTATTTGCACCATGCTTAAAGGGCATGGGGGGGTGGGGGCGGGCCCTCTTGAAAAATCTTGAGGAAAACATCTCTATTGAGCCTTAGCCTTAAGGTCCTGGGTTTTCAACCTGAGCCTATTAGAACCACCTGGAGCTAAGTCCTGACACCTGGCCCTACCGTCAGCTCCTCTGGTTGGGGGAGAGGGGGGTGGATTTCTGAGGCTCTCAGGTGACTTCTGTTGTGCATTTGGAGGGAAGCGCCCAATTGGTTTAAATGCAGTTAAGAAGTTAAACTGAGGCCCAGGCGGCGTGGCTCTGTGGTTGAGTGTTGACCTATGAACCATGAGGTCATGATTTAATTCCTGGTCAGGGCACATGCCTGGATTGCGGGCTCAATCTCCAGTGTGGGACATGCAGGAGGCAGCTGCTCAATGATTCTCTCTCATCATTGATGTTTCTCTCTCTCTCTCTCTCTCTCTCTCTCTCCCTCTCTGAAATCAATAAAAAA